AGTCATCATCATCAGCAGCATGATCATCATCGTCAGCATCAGCATCAGCATAGGCAACAGCAGCATCATCAGCATCGGCATCATCATCACCAGCGCAATCGTCATCATCAGTATCAGCACCATCAGCATCATCATCCTCATCGTCGTCAGCAGCATCAGCATCATCAGAATCATCATCATCATTATCACCATCATCATCAGCATCACCGTCATCGTCAACAACGTCATCAGAATCAGTATCATCAACATCCTCAGCATCAGCATCACCAGCATCGTTGTCGTCGCTGTCGCCGTCGTCATCATCAGTTCCATCATCAGCGCCATCAGCATCCTTATAATCATCATCAGCACCAGCATCAATATCGTCATCCTTGTCAGCGTCATCGTCAGCATCAGTATCATCAACATGATCATCCTGATCATCATCAGCATGATTAACATCAGCATCATAATCATTATCATTATCATCATAATAATCAAAAGCATCATCAGCAGCATCACTCATCTTCATGAGCATCCTGATCATCGTCATCATCAACATCATCATCAGTATCACAATCATCACCATCACAGTAATACGCGTCATAAGCATCATCGTCGTCATCATCGTAAGCATCATCAGCATCATCATCAGCCGCAGCATAATGATCAGCAGCATCAGCATCAGCATCAACGACAATAGCATCATCAACGTCAACATCAACATCATCATCAGCCGCATCATCATCCTCATCAGCATCATCATCATCATCAACCGCATCATCATCCACACCCGCACAACCGTCAGCATCAGCATCACCATGAGCATCGTCAGCATCGTCGTCGTCAGCATCATCAGCATCATCAGCATCGGCATCATTAGCATCATCGTAATCACCATCATCGTCATCACCATCAACATCACCAGCGGTAGCACCATCACGTTCCTCGACACCCTCATCATACTCCTCGACATACTCGAAATAGTGCTCGTCGCATCATCAGTGCGCCGCGGATTGGTAGCAATGGCAGCGTGCGTATAAATAGTCGTATTGTCCGACGTGCTTACAGTACTCGTCCTGGAAGTGCTCATAGTTCTAGACCACGTCGTAGTCTTATGACCCGTAACATGATAAACATCTGAAGTCGCATTGTCAGCTGTCTTCGAAGTGTAAAAATTGGTAATCGTAGCGTGCTACTCGCATCAATCGAATTGCAAGTATTACGAGTATATTGCTTCGTCGTGTTCATCCGTCTCCTCGTCCTCCTTCCCCTCCTCCCCCTCCTCCTCCTCCGCCTCCTCCTTCTCCTGCTATATCCGCCGACCCCTTGTGGGTCTCTAGGCGTGTGAGATAGTTCCCCCCCATAGTCCCCCCCCCCCCCAGGGACCCCAAACCGGCGATTTGACCCCCCCCCCCGGGCCGACGCCGAGCGACTCACCGGCCTCTTTTGGGCCCAAATGGGGCTCAAGACGGGCCACGAAGGTCCCAAGACGTTTCCAAGACGGCCCACGAGGACCCCGAGACGCCAAACGAGCGCCCCAAGACGCCGAAGATGGCCCCAAGACGAGCCAAGAGGCCTCCAAGACGGCCCAAGAGGCCTCCAAGAGCAGTCCTCAGAAGGGCCGAAGAGCCGAAAATCGTCAAATTCCTATGGGAAAACGAACAGTTTGATCATATACGACTTGTCGGCCTTTACGGCGTGGACGACGGTCCAAGAGCACCCCAACACCGCCCCAAGACGGCCCAAGAGGCCCCCAAGAGGCGCCCAAGTCGGCCCAAGAGGGCGCCAAGACGGCCCAAGAGGGCCCCAAGACGGCCCAAGAGGGCCCCTAGACGGCCACAAGAGGGGCCCGAGAGGTGGAGCTTGAACCGACAATCCGAGCCTTCCGCCCCAAGACGGCCCAAACGAGCGCTCCAAGACGCCCAAGATGGCCCCAAGACGAGCCAAGAGGCCTCCAAGACGGCCCAAGAGGCCTCCAAGAACAGTCCTCAGAAGGGCCGAAGAGCCGAAAATCATCAAATTCCTATGGGAAAACGTACATATTCATCATATACGACTTGTCGGCCTTTACGGCGGTGAAGACGGTCCAAGAACACCCCAAGACCGCCCCAAGACGGCCCAAGAGGCCCCCAAGAGGCGCCCAAGTCGGCCCAAGAGGGCGCCAAGACGGCCCAAGAGGCCCCCAAGACGGCCCAAGAGGGCCCCAAGACGGCCACAAGAGGGGCCCAAGAGGGGCCCAAGAGGGGGAGCTTGAACCGACAATCCGAGCCTTCCGCCCCAAGACGGCCCAAACGAGCGCTCCAAGACGCCCAAGATGGCCCCAAGACGAGCCAAGAGGCCTCCAAGACGGCCCAAGAGGCCTCCAAGAACAGTCCTCAGAAGGGCCGAAGAGCCGAAAATCATCAAATTCCTATGGGAAAACGTACATTTTCATCATATACGACTTGTCGGCCTTTACGGCGTTGAAGACGGTCCAAGAGCACCCCAAGACCGCCCCAAGACGGCCCAAGAGGCCCCCAAGAGGCGCCCAAGTCGGCCCAAGAGGGCGCCAAGACGGCCCAAGAGGCCCCCAAGACGGCCCAAGAGGGCCCCAAGACGGCCCCAAGAGGGGCCCAAAAGGGAGAGCTTGAACCGACAATCCGAGCCTTCCGCCCCAAGACGGCCCAAGAAGGCCCCAAGAGGCCCCAAGAGGCCCCCAAGACGCCCCTAGGAAGCCCCAAAAGGCCCCCAAGAGGGCCCCAAACGGTCCCAAAACGGCCCCCAAGAGGCTTCGAAACCGCCTCCAAGAGTCCCGCGAGAAGCCCCCCAAGAGATCCCCGCGATCACCTCCTCCTCCTCCTCCTCCTTCTCCTCCGTCTCCTCTTCCTCCTCCTCACGACCACACGCTGCACGCAACATTGCAGGAGAATGGTGCCGACACTGCATGCGACCCCAGAGAAACCACAACGCTTTTCGAACAAAGGGGTCGGCGGATGTGGCGTACGCCTATAGAATCTCACTACACGTTGCTAGTAGCGTCATCACTGCTTTGGGGAATGCGATCCAATGTCCGCTCCCTCCTCTTAATCCCCTCCTCACCACCCCGCGGCTCATCCCCTTCGGTCTCCCCCTTGCCTGTGTGCCATCACCATGCTGCGTCTTCATCCAGTCATGCCACTCCTCATCACTATCCTGTCAACACAACCACACTCACCACCAGCATCATCAGCTTCAGCATCATCATCATCATCATCATCATCATCATCATCATCATCATCATCATCATCATCATCGGCATCATCATCATCATCATCATCACCATCATCATCATCCTCATCCTAATCCTCATCCTCGTCCTCATCCTCATCATCGTCATGATCAGCATAATCATCAGCATCATCATCAGAAGCATCAGAATCAGCATCGACGACATCATCATCATCAGCATCATCATCATCATCAGAATCGTCATCAGCATCATCATCATCATGATCGTCATCATCATCATCATCATCAGCATCATCATCATCATCATCATCATCATCGCCATGGTCATCACCATCAGCATCATCATCAGCATCAGCATGATGATACTCAGCACCATGATCAGCATCATCAACAGCATCACCATCATCATCAGCATCATTATCATCAGCAGCATCGCCAGTATTATCATCAGCAATAATCATTATCAGCATCGTTATCACCAGCATCGTCGTCATCACCATCATCATCATCGTCACCATCATCATCAGCATCATCATCATCGTCATCATCATCATCATCGTCATCATCATCGTAATCGTCATCGTCATCGCCATCGTCATCAAACAATCATCAGCATCATCCACAGCAACATCAGCATCATCACCATTATCACACTCATCACCGTTAACACCGCCCTCAGCATCAGCATGATCATCATCAGCAGCAGCACAATCCTCAGCAGTGATCATCGTCAAATCATCATCATCATCATCAGCACCATCATAATCATAAGCATCAGCATCAGCATCAGCATCAGGATCATCGCCATCATCATCGTCCTGATATTCATAACTATACGGTTGGCATCATCATTCCTATCAGCATCATCATCAGCATTATCACTATCATCACCATCAGAACCATCACATCATAATCATCCTCACAATCTGCATCCCCATAATCATCGCCATCATCGACATAATCGTCATCATTACTAACGTTGGCATCATCATCACGATCATCATTATCATCACCATCATCAGAATCATCCTCATCATTAGCATATTCATCATCAGCATCATCATCACCACCATGACCATTAGAATCATCATCAGCATCGTCATAATCGGCAGCATCATCGTCATCAAATTCATCATCATACTCATCATCATCATCGTCATCAGTATACTCATCATCGTCATCATCATCACCAGCGTCATCGACCTCCACATCAGCACCACCAGAGTCCACGTGCGCACCGCTCTCACAAGCACCATGTCACCATGCGCATCAGCACAGGATTTAGAAAACCCTGGCGGCGCCAGCGCCGACCCCTTACCTGCAGGAAGCCCGCCTCCCCGTCAAACCATGCTTCTGCGGGGCTCTGGCCGAACAGCCCTTGGCGAGACGGCATCTGCATATTGCGTGCCATGCCTCCCCCGCGGACAAATCCCGCCCCTTCTTCCGTCGCGGACCTTCCGCCGAGAGGCCAACCTTTCGACGAAGAGGCCGCCTTCCTGGGAGCAGGGAGAGGGGAGGAGAACCCAGGCCCCCTCGCGCTGTAAAAAAATCACGACGGGAGGTGATTCGGTATTTTCGGCCTCTGGGGGCCCCCTTTCCGAGCCTCGGGACCGTCAGAAAACGACTCAGGATGAAAAGCCGGCCCCCGGGAATGGGTCCAGAGCTCAGGGGGTCGCGCCATGAGAAAATCATGACGTCGGGGGTCTGGGGAGGTGGCGCACGCAGGACGGAGGGGGAGGAGACGACTGGGAAGGAGGGATGGAGGCTGAACGTATCAATCCCTTGACGTGGAGGCCCCTTTTGGAACTGGACCACCTGGCCCCCAGGCCCCTCGCGAGGGCCCTCAAACACGAACGCCTTCCGGCACACTTTGCACACGGTGGAGTCGTCGACCGACAGCGGGTTGAGCGTGGGTAGCATCGGCCCGATGTCGTCGCCGATGGTCACCTCCCTCTCCAGCATCCTGTTCCTCGCCTCCAGCTTTGCAGTGGAATCGGCGTGCTTCGCGAGAAGGTCCTCGATCGTCTCCCGCAGCTCGCGGGCAGCGCGCTCCTTCAGATCCTGCATCTGCCGCTCGAAGTCTTTGTTGTTGGCGACGATGTCCGCCTCCAGGCCTCGCGCGAAGGCAAGCGCCTTGTCGCGTTCCGCCTCCACGCCGCGCCTGACCCAACGCTCCGCCGCGAACTCCGATTGCATCTCCGAGGATTCCTCCAGGAGGCATACGACCTCGCCTGGAGGAGCGGGAGGGGGAGAAGGAGGAGGAGGAGGAGGAGAAGGAGGAGGAGGAGGAGGTGGAGTAGGAGACTGGGAGGGGGAGGAGGAGCAGCAGGAGGCCTCTGGCAACCACCAGGTCGTCCCGCAGAGCCGCCTCCACCGCTGCGCAGGCGTCGAGCCGCTCCTGGCACTCTCGGTGCGTGCCCTCCAGCCTCGCCACCTCCAGGCGAACCTCCAGCAGCAGCTCCTCGGTCTCACGGAACTGCAGCATGTGCCTCTTGATCTCCTTGTTCTGCCGCGCCACCTCCACGCGGGACTCGGAAAGCTGTTGCATCAGCTTTTTTTTCTGCGCCTCCAGGTCCTCCACCTGGTCCGTCAGCCTCTGCTTCTCAACCGACAGCACCTGGATCATCTTAGCCCTGCCCTCCGCCGTGTCGGAGCTATTCTTCAGGTCCTCCATGGCCTGCTCGTGCGCCTTCACCATCTTCTCGTACAGCTTCTTGAATTTGTCCCTGTCCCTGGTGAGGGTCTCCATGTCCATTGTCCACTGGCGTAGGCACTCTTCGTGCTCGTCCGCGCGCGTGGCGTTGGTGCACTCGAGCGCAAAGACCCTGGCCTCGAGGACCCTCTTGGCCGAGTCCAGCTCCAGGTCCCGGCCGCGCTCGGCGCGGTACGACCATGAGACCAGGATGTCGTCGCAGAGGCGACGGACGTTCTGGCGTTTCTGGTGCTCGGTTATCCTCTCCAGGAACTGCACGCGGTGGCGCTTGGCGGAGATGTGAATGTCCTCGATCTGTTCCTCCAGCCTCTGCTGCTTTTCCCTGGCCTTCTCCAATTTGGCCTGCTTTGACAAGGAGAGGAAAACGGAGAAGGATGAGGAGGAGGAGGAGCAGGAGCAGGAGAAGGATGAGGAGGAGGACGGAGAGAGGGGGGGATGGAACGGGTGTGCGATCTGAGCGTCATCGCTGCTCCCGACCTCGTCGAGGTAAGAGCACAGCTCGTAGAAGGCCCTGCAGTAAAGAGCACACCTATACTGGGCAGCCTGACTCGAACACGCTAGTTGCCGAGCCTGCGCGGGGAGGCCCAAGTCCATGAGAGCCACACGTTCTGTTTCAGAGAGGGGGGAATGAGGAGGAGGCTGCCCTTCCCTGGAGGCGCGATAGGAATAGAAAGAGAGATGCAGCCAGGGACGTGCCTGAAGGACGTCCACCCGCTCATGGGCGGATGGCGGCACGCTCGTAATGAACTTCACGAAGGTGTCGCCTAGCAGGTCGTCCTTCACGAGCCACCCATGGGACTTGAGCATGAACTCCGACGCGTCGTTGAAAAGGCCGTGGGCGTACATGAGTTTCTTCTTGATGTGCTCGATGAACATCAGCTTGTCGAGTCGCTCCTGCCACAGCGGAGTGCCCTCCAGCATGCCGTCCTTCGGCTCCACACCGCTCCCTGGCAGCCTGTCGGACGACCGGACGTCGAGGGGGGAACAGCCCGGGAAGGGGGGGCGGGGGGGGCGAGTGGGTGGGGCACGAGGGCTGGAGGGGCAGCGGGCCTCCCAACCCCAGGACCAGAGCCGCGCCGCGGGTCGGCGCTCGATGGCCCCGGGGGCCCGGAAGCCAAAGCCACTGGGGCACTGCCAGGGGCGACGGGGAGGAGCCCATCCTGCCGGCTGCCCGTTCCCCCGGGTGGGCGCCCACGGAGCCCCCCTGGACGCCCTGTGGGCCACACGCGGGGGGCGTTCGACCCCGCGGGGCCTGTTCAGGGCCAGGAGCTTCTGGTCCGCACGCTGCCTGTCGCGGAACTCGTTGGCGTACGCGCGCCAGGCGTACGGGGACAGCTCGTCCTTCGACGGTGGGGGGAGGCAGCTCCGGCAAGCCCACGCCTTCGAACGGGGGTTGTCAACTCACTCCCCCTGGATCCCGCGGGAGCAGCTCCTGGCAATACGACCAGGAGCAGGCGTCGCAGCACGGGCAGGAGTGGGGGTCAAGCTGGCCAGCTCGAACGAATCAGCGGGCCCCGCCCACGACTGCCCTCCCTGAAGGGGCCCTGGGACACACAAATAAATACACACAAATGAAAAGATTCCCTATATTTTCCCATATGTTCTAGGTTTCTGTCTTCCCCCCCACTTCCCATATTTCCCCATATTTTCTGCGGAATCGAGGATGAATTGTGTCTGTGTGTTTTTTCCTCTCCTGACTCCCCCGCAGTCGATAAGAATCCGTGCTGGGACACTTGGATGCTGGGACTGGCGCGCGTCCCCGCCCAGCGAACGGCAGGCGCTCGCGCGCGGCCCCGCCTCCGACGCACCGGCGAGGGGCTAGACGTGGGCCGCACACTCCTTCGTCGGCAGCGGGGCGGGGCACTCCGCTCCGGCGTGGCCCGGCAGCGATGCAGGGGCACCACACAGCGAGCTGGCCGGCATGCAGGAGGGGGGAGGACAGGAACGTGGGCCGCGCACGCGCAGGAGCGGCACTCTCAGAAGACCTCCGCCGGGCGCCTCGGTGAGACCACCACTCAGCCCCCCGGCGAGCGGCCAAATGCTCGATAGGACCGGCGAAGACAGAGCACATGCGCCGCGCGGAGGCGGGAGCACCACGGCAGGAGCGCCGCTTTCAGGCCAAAATTTGCGCGGTGCCTGGGCGAGAGAGTACATGTCGCACGCGGCCTCGCTTCGGTTGCCGACGACCGGGTGAGCGGAATATATGCGCCGCGCCCAGGTGGGAACGCCACTGCCAGGCGAAATCGGCACGGCGCTTGCGCGAGAGCAATAGGAGGAACAAGGATGGGAGTCGGAACGGCAGGGGAGAAGCAGGAGCATAAGTATCAGTCGAGAAAGAAAGACAGCTCGACAGCTCGAGCAAGCCAGCGGGACCCATCCAATGCTAGCCCCCCTCCCATGACACAAGAACCAATGTCGACACACCTGGTACTTGAAATGGCGTCACCCAGCGAACGGAAGGAACTCACTCGCACGCGGCCCGCTTCCGACGGTCTGGCACCTGGAAAAAATGCGCCGACCCCCAACGATAACGCAATGTTCAATGGGAATCAGCGCTGCTCTGAAGCGAAAGCACCATTCCGCCCGTGCGCACGCGACCCCGCCTGCGACGACCTGGCCAGAAAGCAGGAGCGCAACTCAATCTCGTTCGCTCGCTCGCGATCCAGCTTCCGAGGGCTTGGAGAGGGAACAAAAATGCACCGCGCCCATGTGGGACCGTGTCTTCCAAGAAATGTATCCAGCGATGAGGCGAAAGCGACATTCCGCTCGCGCGAGCGCCACCCAACCTCCGACGACCTTGTAAAGGGAAAACGTGCGCCGCGCCAAAGAGGGAGCGCAATTCTCAGGACAACTCCGTACGGCGCTCTTCCTCCTCCTCCACCTCCTCCTCCTTCTCCTCCTCCTTCTCCTCCTCCCGCTCCTGTTCCTCCTCCTTCTCCTCTTCCTCCTCATCCTCCTCCTGCTCCTCCTCCTCCTCCTCATCATCATCATCATCATCACCACCACCACAATCACCATCATCATCATCATCACCATCATCATCATCATCATCATCATCAGCAGCACCAGCAGCAGCAGCATCATCAGCACCAGCATCTCATCATCATCATCATCATCATCATCATCATCAGCAGCAGCAGCATCATCGTCACCATTATCACCATCATCAGCAACATCATCATTAACAGAATCATCATCATCATCATCATCATCATCATCATCATCTTCATCGTCATCATCATAATTGTCATAATCATTAGTATCATCATCATTGCCATCAGCATCATCATCATCATCATCATCATCACCATCACCATCATCATCATCATCATCGTCATCATCATCGTCATCATCATCACCATCAGCAGCATCGTCATCATCATCAGTATCATCGGCATAATCAGCATCACCTCCACAACCATCATCGTCATCATCAGCATCGTAATCGTCCTCCTCATCGTCATCTTCGTCATCGTCATCGTCATCGTCCTCGTCATCGTCATCATCATGCAATTCCTTCCATTCTTCCTCCTCCTCCTCCTCCTCCACTCCTTCTTCTCCTCCATTTCCTCCATGCCTTTTCCGTATAAATAACTCCTCCCTGTCGCACCACCAGACGTGCCGGTAGGGTGGGCCAGGCGTTTCGCCTGAGACTTCCTCACAATATATGACTCTGGAGCTTGGAACTTGCAACGGTCTCAAGGATTGAGATCTGGTGGTCTTAGCAGCGCGACTCTCGCCTCAGCACCGCGCACACCCGTCCTACGAACCTGCGACGGATTGAAGGATGGAGGGCGAGTCGTGTTCAAAATGTGGCTCCCGCATTAGCGCGACGCTTGTGGATGCCACGACAATGGACACCCTAGCAGTCCTATCATTGAGTTTAAAATGTGCTTAAAATGTCGGAACATGTTCTAAACGTGGTTCAGACATGTTTATTACATGTCTAAAACATGTTGAACACCATGTTCTAGACATCTGGAAATGATTCGGCAGCGTGCTTTCCTCTCCATCGATCGTCCTCTACAACGCTACGCGCATCCGCCCCAAAAGGTTGCAGCGGTTTCGAGGATGGAGGGCGGGTCGTTCGCAGAGTGTGGCTCCCGCTGTCGCGCTGCGCCCGCGCTGGCCATTAGAAATCTGCAGCAGCCTCCAGGACGGAGGGCGGTTCCTCCTCAAAATGCGGCCATCGCCGTGGCGCACCGCTCCTCCTCCCTCCTCCTCCTCCCTCCTCCTCCCTCCTTCTCCTCCTTCTCCTCATCCTCCTCCTCATCCTCCTCCTCCTCCTCCTTCTCCTCCTCCTGAAGCCTGCAGCAAGTTCAAGGGCTCATGTGGTTGGCATCCCACGAATTCTGTTGTGGTACGAATTGCCGTTGTCAAAACGCAACGTTCATACTGCTTCGCGTTGAAATCCCAGGCGCTGCGTGTTTTCACGAACGCAACCAGGAAGAGAATCCCGCTGCCTTTCAAGAGGACTATCCTGGTCAATCCCTTCGTGGAAAACCATGTGCGGACAACCAACAACTGCCGTCAGTATGGCTCCAGGCAGGCATTTTCGAAACTGCAAAACGATGCGTGACAGGCGCGCGTAGTTGTTACCAACAGTGCTCAAGAGATCAAGTTAAGCAGCAAATGTAGTGGACAAAGCGTGCCCCAAAAACACAAGCCGAAGAAGGGGAAAAGAGAGAGGGGGACACAGAGGCCAGAGGGCAGAAAAAGGGGCAACAACGTATGGCGCAAGGGCTAACGAATTACGCTACCGAGGAACCCCACATACTGATGTTATGTCTTGTGTGCCACGCCTGCTATGCCTGGACGGCCCTGGCACGCATGGGGAGACCACCCCCTGCGCACCCCCTCTGGTGTCGAGAAAATGCCACGCCTGCTATTCCCGGACGGCCCTGGCACGCATAGGGAGACCACCCTCTGCGCACCCCCTCTGGTGTCGAGAAAATGCCACGCCTGCTATGCCTGGACTACCCTGGCACGCATAGGGAGACCACCCCCTGCGCACTCCCTCTGGTGTCGAGAAAATGCCACGCCTGCCGTGCCCTGCGCCATGGCCCGCATAGACGCCGCGCTCAGGGACCACCCCCTGCGCACCCCCTCTGGTGTCTAGAAACTGCCACGCCTGCCGTGCCCTGCGCCATGGCCCGCATAGACGCCGCGCTCAGGGACCACCCCCTGCGCACCCCCTCTGGTGTCGAGAAACTGCCACGCCTGCCGTGCCCTGCGCCATGGCCCGCATAGACGCCGCGCTCAAGGACCACCCCCTGCGCACCCCCTCTGGTGTCGAGAAACTGCCACGCCTGCCGTGCCCTGCGCCATGGCCCGCATAGACGCCGCGCTCAGGGACCACCCCCTGCGCACCCCTTCTGGTGTCGAGAAACTGCCACGTCTGCCGTGCCCTGCGCCATGGCCCGCATAGACGCCGCGCTCAGGGACCACCCCCTGCGCACCCCCTCTGGTGTCGAGAAACTGCCACGCCTGCCGTGCCCTGCGCCATGGCCCGCATAGACGCCGCGCTCAGGGACCACCCCCTGCGCACCCCCTCTGGTGTCGAGAAACTGCCACGCCTGCCGTGCCCTGCGCCATGGCCCGCATAGACGCCGCGCTCAGGGACCACCCCCTGCGCACCCCCTCTGGTGTCGAGAAACTGCCACGCCTGCCGTGCCCTGCGCCATGGCCCGCATAGACGCCGCGCTCAGGGACCACCCCCTGCGCACCCCCTCTGGTGTCGAGAAACTGCCACGCCTGCCGTGCCCTGCGCCATGGCCCGCATAGACGCCGCGCTCAGGGACCACCCTCTGCGCGCTCTGCCTGGGGTCGAGAAAATGCCACGCCTGCCGTGCCCTGCGCCATGGCCCGCATAGACGCCGCGCTCAGGGACCACCCCCTGCGCACCCCCTCTGGTGTCGAGAAACTACCACGCCTGCCGTGCCCTGCGCTATTGCCCGCATAGACGCCGCGCTCAGGGACCACCCCCTGCGCACCCCCTCTGGTGTCGAGAAACTGCCACGCCTGCCGTGCCCTGCGCCTGGCCCGCATAGACGCCGCGCTCAGGGACCACCCCCTGCGCCCCCCCTCTGGTGTCGAGAAAGTGCCACGCCTGCCATGCTGAGCAGTGCTGTGAGGAGGACGGGAAGAGTTGTGAGCGTCGCGGGTGCGGCGCGGCAGGGAAGAAAACCAGAACCCCACGAACCATGTGCATAGGCCTGCAGCGCAGCAGGGAAGAGAAGGAGAGGGAGGAGAAGGAGGAGACGCGGGTGAGACGCGGAAGGGAAGAAAACCAGAACCCCACGAAGCATGTGGGGAAAAATAATGGAAGCTCGCTGGAGGCTCGCGATCCTAACAGGATCGAGCGACAAGGATTAGGCTTCCCATAACTTCAAACAACAGTCCGTCCCAGCTGGGAAGCGACAAAAGAAATAATTGCAATGCCCTGGCAATTCAAAGTGTTATTGTTCACGTGAAACACCACAGGTGGCACAACCACATCTCGAATCAGAAGGTCGCTACGCAAACCGGGAGCACCGCACAAGCCGACCTGCAACAGGCAAAGTCATGCAGTGAACCGTGGCCTGAATAACCGAGCGACGATGCAATTGGGACATGCGGGAGGAAGACGACAGAGAAAGACAGGGAGGAAAGGAAGAGGAAGAGGAACACGCAACGCTGCGCGCAGGCTTGGGGCGGCACTTCTACGAGGGCGGCCAGCGAGTCTGGGCGGCCCGATGGCGGCCTCCATTCGCGTGCACGCGGCGCGAGCGCCCATTCAAAGCACGGCGCACGAATCCAGTAGGCGTTCACCGCGACTGGACCCAAGGTGGGGGGCGCGGAAGAAGGAGAGGAAAGCGACCCACATGAAATGCGTCCAAGTTGCCTGAACTCGCCCTGCGTAGGACAAGGGGCAAAGCTTGACAAGAGAAGGGGCGTCAGTGTTTTCAGAGGTTCTGCCGCCCGAGACTCTGGGGCGCCAGAACGGCGAGGCCCCCCCAGCTCGACACAGCCAGGACCCGGGACGCTCAGCAGCTACCCGGGCGGTGGAGGTGGGTCGGGCATGCCCCCGAGGCAGGCAGCTTCTGGAGAAAAACGATGTACAAGGTATTCAACAAAATGTGCAAAAATTGCCAAAGTCAAAGAAAAATGGTCCCCAGACTACTTTGTGACTATTTTCTTGTACTCCTCCTGTGGAGGGACATGCCCGACGCAGTGGCGGAGGAACGATGCCGGTGCCCGCGGCCACCGTGCCCGCAGAGCCGCCCGCCCGCAGCCTCTGCGCAGCTCCTTATAACCACGGCGAGCGACGGCGAACCGCTCTCATCGAACCGTGCCTGGATCCTCCCTCCTCCCTCCTCCCTCCTCCTCCTCCCTAATCCCTCCTCCCTCCTCCCTCCGCCCTCCGCCCTCCGCCCTCCTCCTCCTCCTCCTCTCCTCCTCCTCCCTCCTCCTCCTCCTCCTCCTCCTCCCCTCCTCCTCTCCTCCTCCTCCTCCTCCTCCCTCCTCCTCCTCCTCCTTCCTCCTCCCCGCTCCTCCCTCCGCCTCCTCCTCATGCTCCTCCTCCTCCTCCTCCTCCTCCTCCTCCTCCTCCTCCGCCTCCGCCTCCTCCTCCTCCTCCTCCTCCTCCTCCTCCTCCTCCTTCTCCCTCCTCCCTCCTCCCTCCTCCCTCCTCCCTCCTCATCCGTCAACCCTCCCCCCTCGTCCCATCTCCCTCGTCCTCCTGCTGGTCCTTCACCAGCGTCAGGTTCTGCCGCAGCGAGTCGAAGGCAACCCGGGGGTCGTTCGGCCCGCCCGCATCCGGCCCGTTCAGCAACGGCGAGGTCATCCCGGCCCTGGCGGCCGGCAGCGCAGACCACCTCTGCCGCCGCGCTGTCGCACCGCCGCAAGCGCGTCAGGCGCGCGGAAGCGACACTTGCGCCGCCGCTGGGAGCGCACAACCGCCGGCGCGAGAGGAGGAGGGAGGAGGAGGAGGAGGAGGAGGAGGAGGCGGAGGAGGACGAGGAGGAAGAGGAGGAGGAGGAGGAAGAGGAGGAGGAGGGAGCGAGAAGTCATAGCCGAGAGTGCGATTCTTGGATAAGTTGTGGGGAAGTCCCGCGCGAGAGCGCGATTTGGGAAAACATTGTGAGGAAGTATCAGGCGGGAGCCGTTGTTGCTGTAGTCTAGGGGCCAGGGGCGCAGTTTGAGCCGGAAGACCTTCCCTACTAACAAACAGACAGGGTGCGAGCCCCGGGAGGGCGGGATCAACAATAATTACCCTTGAATATTGAGAACTCAACAACAACAACAACAACAACAACAACAACAACAACAACAACAACAACAACAACAACAACAACAACAACAACAACAACGACGACGACGACGACGACAACAACAACAGCAACAGCAACAGCAACAGCAACAGCAACAACAACAACAACAACAACCACGACGACGACGACGACGACGACGACAACGACAACAGCAGCAGCAGCAACAACCACAACGACAACAAAAACGACAACGACAACGACAACGACAACAACAACGACAACAACAACGACAACAACAACGACAACAACAACAACAATCATTGTAAGACTGTTCGCCCTTATCTGCTCGAGTGTCCAATAACGCGTATTTTCCAAACCCTCGATACCCGCCCTCTTCGTCTTCGATCGAACCACTTTTGCGGGGTATACCTTTCTTCCCTGCAGGCCGGGCTCCGGCAAGCGGCTGGGCGGCCGCGGACCGTCGGCCTGGCCAGCGGCAACGCTGATCGGCGGGGCGGCCGCGGACCGTCGACCCGACCCCAAGAGGGACGGACATGGGACCGACCACGACGACGACGACGACGACGACGTCGACGACGACGGCGACGACGACGTCGACGGCGACGACGACGACGGCGAGCGAAAGCGAGAGCGAGTGAGAACGACAGCAGGGCCACAAGGACACGAAGTAGGCCACGAAGGGCGACAGCGGGGACACAAAGGGAATGCGTATGGGGCCATGAAGAGCGCGAACGAGCGGGGGCCACGAAGGGCATACGTAAACTGGGCCGCGGAGGGCAAGGACGGGGCCACTGAGGGCAGCAACGGGGCCACGAAGGTCAGCGAGGGGGCCACGAAGGGCATGCATATGGGGCCACCACGGGCGCGAACGAGCGGGGGCCACGAAGGGCATACAGATATGGGGCCACGAAGGGCAGCGAGGGTGCGGCGAAGGGCTGCAACGGGGCCACGAAGGGCATGCATATGGGGCCACCACGGGCGCGAACGAGCGGGGGCCACGAAGGGCATACATATATGGGCGGGTAGACCCTACCAGGCGGGTCGGGAAGGGGGTCCCAGGCGGCCAGGTCGAGCAGGCGGGTTGCTGAAGCGTGCGTCTTGCATGAGTCGCGAGGAAGTCTCGAGCGACAGCTCGACTTCCAAATCAATCGTGAAAAAATCCTCAGCGAGAGCGTGACTCCTGAATGTCGAGGGCGCGGCGTCTGAATAGATTGCCATGAAGTCCCACGCGAGAGCGCGATTCCAGAATAAATTGTGAGAAAGTCCCGCACAAGCGCGCGATTTGGGAATAAGTTATGGGGAAGTATCAGGCAGGAGCCGTTGTTGTTGTAGTTCGGGGGCCAGGGGCGCAGTTTGAGGAGGAAGACTTTCCCTGATGAAAAAACGCGGTGCGAGTTCCGAGAAGGGCACTTCAATTGAAAAACACATATGTTGCCAGAGTGCCAGGATGAAGAATCATTGCTCTTCAGTAGTGAGGGTTCAATAACAAAGCACGCACACACACACACACACACACACACACACACACACACACACACACACACACGCACACACACACACACGCAACGGCAACCAGGAAGGGGAACGAGAGAGAGGGGGGTAAGAGAATGACGCACTGCAACGAGACGGGGCGTGCACAGTGATAGAATATGTGCCAACACTTCAGTCTAGTCTAAGACATCAGCACAGGGGGGAGGGGAAGAGGAAGAGCGGACTGGAAGGGAAGGACGACTGCCACCAGATCACAGCGTGAGGCTCCACAGGCAGGTCAATCAATCGAACAGAAGTAACAGAGAAGAAGTTCACTGTCCCTCGGAAACGCTACAAGTAGGTGCGCATTGCACTTTGTGAAGACCGTCAACGAAGAACCAAAGCCAAACGAAGCGGCTGACCAGGAGGAAGGAGAGAAGAGGAAGGAGGAGGGAGGAGGGACGAGGAGGAGGAGCAGGAGGAGGAGGAGCAGGAGGGACAGGAGGAGGGAGGGGGAGGAGAGAGGAGGAACGAAGGAGGAAAAGGAGAAGAAACAGGAGGAGGACGACGACGAAGAGACCTGGAGGGAAGACCATCGGCCAGGCACGGGGCCCCCCTCGGTGCTCTGGCGGGAGGGCAGACCAGGCTTTTCAGTTACGTGCATGTTTGGCTGCTCTGGCCCAGCTCGCAGGCTCGAGCGAGCGAGCGAGGAGGGCGGAGGCGGGAGGCGGAGGGCGGCCGAGGGGGAGGGGGCGAAGGAGGAGAGGGCTGCCGTGCTCGCTGAGCCTGCGCCAAAATGGCTGCGCGCCGGCACTGCCCAGGGCCAGCAGTTGGCGTGTTTGGAAGGGGGGTGGACTGCCTGAAAGCATCCATCTCCCCTCCTTCTCTCCCTCCCTCTCGCCCTTCCTCTCCTCCTCCTCCTCCTCCTTCCTCCTCCTCCTCCTCCTTCTCCGCCTCTCCTCCTCCGCCTTGCCTCCGCCCTCCTCCACCTCTTCCTCCTCTCCTCTCCCTCCTCCTCCTCCTCCTCCTCCTCCTCCTCCTCCCTCCTCCTCCTCCTCCTCCTCCTCCTCCTCCTCCTCCTCCTCCTTCCGCCTCCTCCTCCGCCTCCCTCCTCATGCCTCCTCCTCCTCCTCCTCCTCCTCCTCCTCCTCCTCCTCCTCCTCGCTCCTCCTCCTCCTACCTCCTCCTCCTCCTCCTCACTCCCTCCTCCTCTCCTCCTCCTCCTCCTCCTCCTCCTCCTCGTCCTCCGCCTCCTCCTCATCCTCCTCCTGCTCCTCCTGCTCCGCCTGCTCCTCCTGCTCCTCCTCCTCCTCCTCCTCCTCCTCCTCCCTCCTCCTCCTCCTCCTCCTCCTCCCTCCTCCTCCTTCCTCCTCCTCCTCCTCCTCCTCCTACCTACTCCTAATCTCCTTCCTCCTCCTCCTCCTCCAACTCCTCCTCATCTCCTCCGCCCCTCCTCCTCCTCCTCCTCCTCCTCTCCTCAGCCTCCTCCTCCTCATCCTCCTCCTCTCCTCCTCCTCCGCCCCCCCTCCTCCTCCTCCTCCTCCTCCTACCTCCTCCGCTTCCTCCTCCTCCTCCTCTCCTCCTCCTCCTCCTCCTCGTCTCCTCCTCCTCCTCCTCCTCTCCTCCTCCTCCTCCTCCTCCTCCTCCTCTTCCTCCTCCTCCTCCTCCGCCTCCTCTCCTCCTCCTCCTCCTCCTCCTCCTCCTCCTCCTCCTCCTCCTCCTCCTCCTCCTCCTAGCCGTTTCGGCACGAGCTCATTCAGGGGCCCGTGCTTGTGTTCACGTACTTCGAAGCGGCTCGTGAACACGGGCCACTTCACAAGCGCACGGCGCCTCCCGCTGCAGTGTTCAGCAGTCGCGGATGGTGCCAAACCCGCCCGATGTCTTGCCTGGAGCCAAGACTCCATTGTGGAGTTGCAGCTGCGGGTGCCCGGACAATTGGGCGTCCAGAGTCATATGCAGAGGCTGCGGGAAAGATGCCCCAGTGCGAGTCGTCCAGGCAGCTCGTAAGGCATCAGCGGCACTCAAGTCAGGATCAGTTCGTGGGCCTCGTGGTGCCTGGGCTCAAGGGCCACCGCCGATCGGTCCCAGCAGCAAGGAGCAGATGCGCCTCATTCAAGAGCTCAGGGCTGAGGTTGCACAGTTGGCGGGCAAGCAGGCCCCAGTGCGGCCGACATGGCAGTCCAGTTCCCCTTCGCCGCTGCGGGGCACAACGGGTGGATCATCTGCCAAGCTCTCTTTCGCTGAAGTGCTGCAGTTTCTCAAGGATGAGGGCGTCGACACGGCGAAGGTCGAAGAAGCTGAACAGGCAAAGAAGCAGGCTACGGCAGTCAAGCAGCCC